ATTTCCCATATAGATTTTCCCTATAAAGATTTTATAATTTAATGCATAGTTAAATAGTTAAATTTCAGTTTCTGAACATAGTAAGAAGTTAAAATGTGTACTGTGTCACAATTATTAAAAGTTTATTTATCCATTCCAAACATATTCTTTAGTTTAAGTAAATAAATTAATAAAAATGTTATCGAATACGTATTGAATAAATAATTATATGTTTTATTTCTTTATAAGCAGACAGATGAAATAAAGAATCAGAGCATTTAAATCTAATGCACAATCTTGTCATTCAGTTCTTATTTACTGTTTAGTATGGTGTGGTAATCCCATGGCACTTTGATATACATCATGGTACTAAAATTCATATACCATTGTCATTTTTTATTCTGAAAGTAATTTTCACCCCTGTGTTGATTATCAGTGAAAAGCACAATCTTCTGTGTGTTGTCTGCCGTCTGCAGGTACATGCGCAAAGTGCACGGGAGGTGTTTACGGTGCTGATCAGGCCTGCCAGGCCATGGGACAAGTGTACCATGACAGCTGCTTCACCTGCTGTGTCTGCGGTAAGACTGCAGCTCATGTATCAGTTCAGATGCATGGAAATATTACACAGGGCTGATGACATGAGTATATACACGCAAAACACATCAGAGCACCATGGCACAGTACAATCTTTATTTTACAAGTGAGAGGGGAAAAAAGTATATTGGAATGCTTTTACATTCCCCCAAGAATCTTAATAGTAAAGAAATGCAAATATTTCTTGGGGGAACGCAATACTTTTGCGAGTGAATGCAAAGTTTATCAGAGAACACAATAGAACTAAATGTTTTGTAAGCGAAATGAAAAGCAGTACTTTTACAAGAGAATGCAAATGTTTTGCAAGCAAATGCAACGTTTTCCGCATTAATGAAATCAGTTTGCATGAGAATCTCTTATTTTTCCCTAATCATATGTGGTGCTTCACAACATGCTAATTTCACGCACGTCAATATAAACTCAATATCATGTACATGTTTTCTCATCTCCTCGACGCAGGCCAGAAACTGAAAGGGAAGGCGTTTTATGATTTTTCAGGACGGGTGTTCTGTGAGGAGGATTATTTGGTCTGTGGTCTGGTCTTGTTTGTTAATTATTTCTTAAATGAAATGTAGAAGATTGTGCTTTTAATGCTTCCTTTGTTTTGTAGTATTCCAGCGTCAAGCACTTCGCAGAGGTCTGCACTTCCTGCGGATATTTAATCACAGATATGGTCAGCCTGAAAAGCATTCTGTGTGTGTTTTAATGGATAGAAAGAATGTTGTTTAATGTTTCCTTCCACATGATCCATTTGCAAGATGACCTCTGACCCCTTTAGGTGCTCCAGGCTTTGGGAAAGTCCTTCCATCCCGACTGTTTCCGCTGTGTCATCTGTAATGAGAAACTGGAGGGACAGCCGTTTAGTGTCGACACACAAAACAAGATATATTGTGTGAAAGATTACCACAGGTGAACAACACACTGACATGGACACTTACAGTCTGCACAGACAACAGACATACAGTGAATATAAAACCTAGTTATTAATTAATGGTCTATTAGATTAAACTCTAATCAAATTTCTTTGAGTGTCTGTTGACACTTTAAATTTTTATATA